TTTATTCACTAATTTTTATTTTAATATGTTAGCTTCATGTCAATTATGGCGATTTTCGTCAATATTACACATTATACAATTGTCAAAAGATTTATCATAATCGAAAAATGATTGAAAATCATATGAATTATTAATAATAAATTAATGGAAAAATCAATCAAATAGAATTGATATAATAAATATGGTAATACTTTGAACAAATTAATCCAAAGTGTATAAGTAATGTCAATTAATTTTGTCCTAAAAATATTAATCATCTATTATTCTTACAACCATTTAAATATATATTCATTTATATATAATTTATATAATCGTATATTAAATTTGAAAGTTAAATTTTGCTTAAAATTATATATATATATATATATATATATATATATATAATATCCGATTAATTAATATCAGCATAATTGCGAATAAAGTAATTTTTTATATAAATTATAAGAATTTTATTTTAGATTAATTTTGTCCTAAAAATATTAATCATCTATTATTCTTACAACCATTTAAATATATATTCATTTATATATAATTTATATAATCGTATATTAAATTTGAAAGTTAAATTTTGCTTAAAATTATATATATATATATATATATATATATATATATATATATATATATATATATATATTGTTAACGTGCGCAGACAAAGTCTTAAAAAAATATATAATTTTAGTTAAAATTTTTGAAAAAATTGACAAACCGTCAAGTTAAGCATCTGTCTATATCATAACTATGTATTGAAGAAAAAGAAACAGCGAAGGAGATTTTTTGATTTTTTTTTTTTTTTTTTTTTTAAGCATTTTCGTTATGACGTATGTAGTATAAGAATCCTTAATTGATGGGAAATTAATTTTTGGGCCTGGAATGTAAAAAGGATAAGCGGAGTGTAATGGAAGTAGCGCTAGAATTGTGCGCTAAACTCCGTGGATTAGGTGAAGTGAGTTTGTGACGTGGAGAGTCTTGGACAAAGGAAATGACAGGAACCGCGGGCAAAGCTGTGCTCGCAAGAAGAATGGGAATTTTAGGAAAGGCAATGTTTGTCGAAAAAATTCAATATACAGGCGGCTGTAAGTGAATGGATCTCTGCATCGGTCTGGAAAGGCAGAGATTGTTTCGCACCGGCAAGAAGAAGACCCGAGCAAGGCTGCAGAAAAAGGAGCTAGGTAAATGAATAGATAGGTAGAATGTGAGCGAGAGAGAAGTGGGAAAGTGCTAGAGGAAAAACGTCGCGGAATACGGCGTGGAGCACTGATATTATTCTTCGGTCTTCCTCGCGCCTAACTCGACGCCATCCACGAGCATTATTAGTTCTAGCGTTTTAGCATACATGAAATATTGATGTTACAGTCTCATACTCTGCGTCTCGCTATTCGTCAGAGAGGAAGAGCAACAGATATTGTTAGTGTTGTCTCTGCGACTGACTGTATACGTGTTACACTGTTTTGGAGTGTGCGTGATTGTGCGCGTGACTGTTGCGTGAAAAGGTGCATGGGTGGGTATTTATATATATATATATATATATATATATATATATATA